GCTTCCCACCTCGTATGTTGGCAGGCAATGCTGGCTACCTCCCTGAAATCTGCTTGAGCCCTGGCTCTCAGTTTTTTTTCGCCTTTTTGTCCTTTGCTGTTTGCAGAGTCTGCAGTGGTGCAGTATCTACAGGCAGCTTCTTCCATTTGCCATCCTATGTCAAACTTGTTCGGTCTCTGGTGGGCCCGTGGGGGTGGGTGGGGTCTTCCCGGAAGGGTTGTGCCAGGAGTTGGGGTTCCTTCTTTTGTGGTAGGCCAGTGGAGCCAGTTTCAGAGCTGGCGCAGCCTTGTTCGGCGAAGAAAGTGAAGAACTGTCTTCGTTTGGCCGGCACGGTGATCTCTCTGTATGGAGGTCTGGTTTGTGTTAGGGGCTTTGGCCCTTTCGCGGTTCGTCCGAATGACCGGGTGATGAGGGGGAGGCTTGCGCTGTTTTCTCATGCTTGTTCCTACGATTTGTGGGCCATTAGGCTCGTTTCATGCGACCTGCGGTGGTGTTTGGTGGCCTCTCCTCCTTCGGGGGGTTCGGGGCTGATGGGGCAGGCCTGAACTCTGTCAGGTCATCTCAGAGAGGGTTCGCTTGGGCGTGGTCGAAACGACCTCATCCCTCAGGTGGGTTTCCTGCCTGTTTCCTACTCTGAAACGGACTGTGCAGACCTCCTGTTCATTATGGACTTGCCTAGTCTGAACCTGTGGGGTTTATTGCCCCTCCTTTCGGATGATTACTCTGTCCCAGGTCCGTCTTCTAATAGAGCCGGGCACTTGGATGGTGTCCTTGGACCTTTGGGACATGTATTGGCCGTCCCAATTCATCCAGGTTTCAGGGACTTGCTCGGTTTTGTTGTGGGGTGTCAGGGTTACTGCTTTTGTTGCCTTCCATTTGACTTAAATTTGACACCTCGCATTTTCACATTCCTTACCCAGGTCGTGGTGGCCCGTCTGTGTCTTTTAGGTGTTCAGGTTCTGGCCTACCTCGACAACTGGCTGGTGTGGGCTCCCAGATTACCTCCAGGAGTTAGGCTGGAAATCCCGTGTGTTTGCTTGCCAGGGATTTGGTTCTTTTCCAGCTCAATGGGGTTCTGGTTCCTGGTGAACTGGAGGAAGTTCCATCTGGTTCCCTATCAGGTTTGGTTTTGGCTGGGTCTCACGGACCGCTTCCTTGTCCCTCCATCTGGAGGCTCTGCTTTGGCTGCAGTCCCACCTTAACCTGTTTCTGGGGGGCTCCCAGGTCACGCAGCGGTTGCTCAAGAGTTTGTGGGGGAGCCTGATCTTTGCCGTGATGGTCTACCCGCCGAGTCAGGTTTGGCTTCATCGGCTGTTCTGGTTCCCTAGGGGAGGTCCCTTCCGTCTCTTTCGCGATCGCTGGGTTCAGCCTCCGGGGGCCCTTGCGTTGGTTGCTGTGTTGCCGGCTTCCTCTTCGGGTTTTTGGGGTTCAGTACCTTGAACACCCGAGCCCTCGCTCGCTGTGTTCACGGACGCATCGTCTTTCAGCTGGGGCTTTGTGACCATTGCTCACCAGGACGGCCAGGGACGGTGGGGTCCATCCTTCCATCTGGCTCACAGCACGGTGCGAGAGTTCACAGTAGTATGGATGTCACTTCTGAGGGTTCGGGTCGCTCGCGGATCGATGATCAGGCTCCATTCAGACTGCTCTCCGGTGGTTCATTGCCTGAACCGATTGGGTTCGATGTGGTCCTTGGATCTTTGGGACTGGATGCTTTAGGTGATTCGTCTGCTGAGTTCTTGGGGTTTGGCTCTCCTGGCTGTTCACATTCGGGGGGTATCCAACATCCTGGCGGACGGCCTGTCTTGGTTCATTTCCCTGTCCATGGAATGGACAGTCGACGCCGACTCATTCACTTGACTCTGCTGGACGTATGGTCTCCCGGAGGTGAACCTCTTTGCATCGGCATGGTCGAGGCATCTCCTGTTGTATGTGGCACCCTTCCCCACAGTTCAGTCATTGCTCCAGATCCTAGCTCGCTTGGAGACTTACCAAGGGAGAGTAGTCCCTCTGGATCCTTGGTGGCCGGCCCAAATTTGGTTTTGGGCATTGCTTGCTTGGTGTCTGAACTCGAGGGTCTTCCTGTGGCTCTGAATCTTTCAGTAGATCGATCCGCTCTGTTACGTGGCTGGTTCGATCTTCTCGAGTTTTCGCATTTGGTCTTTCTGACTCGATTCTATCACCACTTGTATGGTAAGCTTGTGGCTTCGTTGATGGTCTCCCACCTGCGTGCTTCATCTCGGCGGCAGTATGAAATTTCCTGGCAGTCATTCTGTTATTTCTTATCCCTTTGTAGGGTTACTTCTGTCTCTGTTAGGGTTATCTCGTCCTTCCTTTTGTGATTGTTCCAGGACCGTCATCTTATGCTGAATACTGTCGCCACATATCGTGTGGCACTGGCAGAGCCGCTGCATCTTGCGGCACTTGCAGAGCCGCTACATCTTGCGTTCAGCATTGATGTTACTTCTGCGCCATTCTGCAAGCTGTCTTGTGCGTTGTTTAACTTCCAGCCTGCTCATGCGCCACCTGAGCCGTCCTGGTCGTTGCACCATGTGCTCTTCTTTCTCTCTCCTCCTCGGTTTGTGGTGGCCCCTTCGGTTCAGGATTGTTTTTCCAAGGCTCATCTTCTGTTGGCATTGGCCTCTGGAGGTCAGGTCAGGGAGCTTCATGCTCTCCTCCGGCATAGGGGTTTTGCTCTTTTTGTCCTGGTGGTAGATTTGTTCGTTTGCAGCCATCTCCTTCTTTTCTGGCAAAGAATGAAACTGCTGCTTTCCAGAGGTCCTTGGGTTGTTGATACTTGGTTGGGCTGGAGGTGCATCATATGTTGTGTCCGGTGGTAGCTCTCTGCCATTACATGCACGCCACGACCTCGGTGTTTGGGGACGCGCATTAGGTTGATCCGGTTTCCCTTCTTCCCTGTTCCAGGGTTCGGGTCTCCCAGGTCATCAGCAGGGTTATTTAATCCAGCTAGCCTGCGGTCTATCCTCGTGCCCACGACATTCGTAAGTTTGCTGCACTAGATGACATCTTCGGTAACATGTCTTAGGATGACATTCAGGAACAGGTTTTTTTGGTAGTCGAACAGGGTCCTGGTTGCTCACTACCTTGTCAATGTTCCTGGGCCTAGTCGGGGCTGTGTTGCATTGGGTCAGAGGTTACAGCCAATTGTTTCGGCCTCGTGTTGAGGAGCGAGGGCCGACCACCTCCCAGGTGGTCGGCCCTCTTGTTTTGTCTTTGGATAAGTAGCTCCGGGAAGCCGAAGGGGTTTCCCCCAGAAAATCAGTGTTAAATGTAATGCAATGCCAGTTTCTGGGCAAGACTTGGAAACTCCCTGGCATCCCTCCTTCCCTACGGTGGGAGGGAGGGAGTTTTTCGCGTTTTTTTAACATCCAGCCTCAGAATTGCAGGATGGATAGCCGGTGCGGGGGTCTGGGGCTTCCCCTTCCTGGGAAGTGGGGGTTCACAAACAGTGGTGCAGCGACGTGGTGACGTCATGCTCATTTTCATTTGGGGAGTTCTGTCCACTAGTCTAGCTTTCAAGAGCAATATTTTAACCAGAATAGGGGATTGTTTTGTGGCGTTTAACCTTTCCGAGTGCCTGACCCGGTCGATGGCAGACATAGAATGCTTCCAACCACATGGGTTTTTTTATAAGCTATCGTTCCGTGTGCCTCTCTGAGGGGGCCAGGTTCTGGCTCGTGATCCTCGGTAGGCTTAGAACTCCAGGCTCATTGACTGATTCCAGGGTCTAATACAATCCATATTGGGTCAGTTAGCTCCGGAGAGCCTCTGGGTCTCACCCAGAAACCGTCGTTCCATGACTTTCAATGCTGGTTTTTTGAATGGTGAGAGTCGGACTATAAACTGTTCATACATTAATTTACTAATCATATATATTTTCAGTCATTGTCATGCTAGGTTTAAATGTGTTTTATAAAGCTACTGGACCACAATTCTCAATAAGTAGTATAACCTAAGATTCAACTTAATTCATTAGGGGGGTCCTGAGGCATCGAGACGATACCAAGTCAAGGTATCACCTTACCCGCATACACTCTGGTGTGGTATAGTGCTTTTGAGTTCCCAGAGTGCAGGTTCAAATCCTTCTCATGGCTCAAACTTATTTTCTCATTGATACATCATGGTAATGTGATTTCTTTGTGCAAACGTATCAGTGCTGAATTTTCATTCATTCTGTTATGGTGTTTGATGGCAGCACACACTAAGTATGCTGTCTCATAATGTTTTCTTCTGCTTCATCATTTTTTTTTTTAACAAGTATATACATTTCATGAAATTTCAGCTCCTGTTTGCTGTGTGCTACACAAGGGTCTGTGATGTTATTAACATTGCAGGCATATCTATGTTCGTAAATTATTAGAAAAGTCGTTAACATAAAATCAAAACACTAGGTTAGTCAGTCATTCTTCATTTAGCACTTTTATATTTAAACAAAGCTATGGCTGATTGATGGGTAAATTTCAGGAAAATATCCGTGTCATGAGCGTTCTCTTTATTGCCATACTTAATACTGTATGTACAAAATACAGTAGTGATTATTTATATTTGTTCTCTTTGGTGTGATATCAGATTTGCTTTTACACGTATCTGTGTCATTGTATAGCTTTGATTCAGAGTAGGGCAGCAAGTTCACGATCTTCCTCCAACATTTCGTCCATTGTGCATCAATAGAGTATTAGTATTATTAATATTATTATTTGCTGTTGTTTTAAGATTTGCTACCTGGAACAGAAAGTTCCAAGTAACACAGCTAAGGTGAGCCCGTGAAAATATTATTATATAATATTATTATATAATAGTATTATACACCCAGCAAAAAGCATGCATAATTTTAAGAGGAATACTTCGTCTTGAGTGACATTTTTGTAATTCCTCAATACAGTACTGTACATATATCGCAGAGAAAATGGTGTAAATTAACGTCTTATGTTTTTGAGACATTTCAATAACATTTAATTAAATTTTCATATTGATTTCAGAATGCTGATACATAGCATGAAAACAGGCTGTTTCATATTTCATCGTGGCTGGATTTTCATTATTTGTCTCATCTCCAGGTTTGTCATATGAAGTCAGATTATATATGATTATGTCTGAGTCTGTACCAATGATTTCTGTCCAGTTTCACACAAAAAAAAAAAGAAATTTGGAATGGAAGAAATGTTGTGGTCACATGTCTGTAGTCAAATTCAGATGAAGCTGAATGAAGTCAGGCTTCAAATGTCAAATTTTATTTACCAATGCCTCAATGTAAAAATTAAAATGTCTAATTATCAGTATGTATGTTCAAAAAAGTAATATTATGCTCCTGGCTGTGAAGTGGCGCCAGTCATTCAGTGGCTTGAAAAAAGTTTACATAATCATTAAATTGCACTGTAGTATTAGTTATTCCTGCCATATAATTTTTTAACAATGAATTACATCTAACTTTAATTATGATAAAAGATATCCAACAAATATTTGAAAATTGCTGATAGTGCATAGACTTTCAAAAAAAAAAAGAGATTCAGCTGTTTTCCAATTACAGTACGAGTCAATAAAATTTGTTGTTTCCTTGTTGAAACATTTCTGATCATTAAACATTTCCCCTCTATTTGTTTTTAGAAGATGACAACTAATCCATTAAAATGTTTCTCTACAAGTTATTTGTAAACAGTGTCATGAGCCACTGTAATCTAAGCATGATGAGGTCATTAAACTTAATGGTACATTTGTATTTTGTAACTATGTGTGGCCAACAAAGCTATGAGGTCAACATAATGGCTTAGCTCATAATTTGCACTGCAATAAAAGTCATTTTAAATAAAGATTATCACTTCAATGAAAAATGTTTTATCTATGAAATGAAATTTGAGGTACTGTATATATATAATAATAATAAAAATAATATGTACATTGCTGTTTTATTGTACTTATTGAATTAAAACATTGTCCCTCTTGTCCTTGTAATATATACGACTTTGGGTGACAATATTTGAAGGGTATAGTGTTTTCTGTGGGAGCCACTGATTAAGTGCAATACTACCTAGTGTCATCAGCAGCGGAGGTCTTTTTGCCTACCTGGGACCACGAGCCAGAGTCTGACCCCTTCAGAGAGGCGCAGGGAGCAATTGTCTATGATCGCTTTACATTTAACCCTTATGCTGCTAACTGTTAACCCTCAAACCGCTAGGGGGTCCAAATGGCTGTAACACCCACAGGCGCAACAAAAAAAGAAATTAGAAAAAATTCTTTCATCTTATAAAGTGTTCATTTTTGTTCCCAGATAACGGAAAAAATAATAAAAAAATCGTAGGTGGCATATTTTAGCCACAATAGGGTAGGGAAGTCTGGCAAAAAAGGGGCATTGACAGAGCCTTCGCCAGACGAGGTCTACTCTGCTTGAGCTGTCAGGCAACAGTTGCCACAAATATATTATTACCTATTTCAATGTCTCTTATTGATGTTTTCCTTAGCTTTTTTGCAGTAATAATATTCAATACAGTGAATTGTGATATATTTATATAAAAAAATGTGTGAACCATCGCTGTACTCAAAATTATGGTGTGCATATTAGTGATTCAATTATTATGTTCATAAAACAATAATCAAATAGTTTTGTTGTTATTACACTATATACACAGGTTATATATAAGTATCTGCATGTTTTGCTCACCATAATGAACCACTAAGTTTGTATTGTGAGTCAAAATGCAACGAGGAGAGACCGCCACACACCAGCCAGCCACTTGCTGCCACTCCCTCCCTCAACAACACCTCACTTGCCCTCATTCTCCTCCCACAATACTGTTTTTGCATCTATTCACCATACACAGATGTTATATATAAGTATTTACATGTTTTGTTCACCATAACTGTACATCTAAGCTTGTATAGTGAGTAAAGGCACAAAGACGTAGCTACTCACACAGTCGGCTGGTGGCGGTCACCAACAAGGCCAGACGCACTAATATTTTTCCTCCAACAATACTGGTTGTGGTGTTATTATGCTATATAAACTCATTATATATAAGTATCTACCTGTTTTATTCACCATATCTGTACAAATAAGCTGGTATGGTGCCCAAAGACCATAGTGGCCACCAGTAAACAATATTTATATATATACCTTCTTGTATATATATAAATAAAATAAAATAAATAAATAATAAAATAATGATAAGTCATGCAGACGACGCACCTCCCTCACCAAAATGGCGACTCCCAACCTACTCCTATTGCTGTTATTACACTCTATACACACGTTACATATAAGTATCTACATTTGTGTTCACCATAGCGAACCACTAAGCTGGTATGGTGAGTGCAGTCAATAAAAGGTAACCACACACAGTCAGAAGACTGTGTGTGGTTACCACCACCCTCCCTCCCACAGCATTACTCCTCCCTCCATAGAGCACAGCGCTAAATATCACCACAATCCTGCTATTATCAGAATCCTGGTCAGTTTTTTCTGTCAGGGGTCTTCTGTAATACTATCATTGCTAAATAATAGCATGAACATATATATTATGGCATTTGTAGGCGATGCTGTGAGCTCATGCTGCATGCGTCAGCCTTGGTGGCGCGCTCAATACTGAAGCTCTCACACCCAAGAATGTTGGCCTGGATTTTTTTTTCTAGGTGGCATCTGTCAACTATCGGTCGTGGCTGCGCTATAGCTGCCCCTATCCCAGGCGGGGCGTTTAAATTATAGCACTAGACACAAAATCATATATGACATGCATGGTTTCGGTTTTGTCACAGAAAGCATATATATATATGATTTGTGCGGTTTAAGGGCTAATAGCTGATATCCCAATGACATTGTTAATTAGCCTTCAGGGAGCACTAAAATCCAAATAAAAAGCTCTAGCTCTAGTTTAGCTGTAGTGGCTTGGAGAAGTTGCATATTTTTTGTTAAAATGAGTTAGGTGCCGCATAGGAGTAATTTTGATTTATTTTCATTGTTTCTCACTTTCTTAATTTAGTTTTTCATGCTAACAGGTTGTATTTGTGTGTCAAAGGTACTGTCTATTATGTATAACCTTGAAAATATAAGTATGTATGGATATATGAGTATAGATATACAGACACCCCACATACTTATTCATACATATTCTTATATATATATATATATATATATATATATATATATATATATATATATATATATATATATATATATATATATATATATATATATATATATATACTGTCTCCACTCGATCATCCGGACTATATGGGAAGGACCCCCACCCGGATTATCACATTTTTCGGATAATGGTACTTTTTCACCTACGAGTCCAAAAGTGACCATTTCCAACTATTTTTATACTACAAACAACATAATTTGAATTGCCTTGCCACATACAATTATTAAATATTCAACTAGAAACCTCAACTTACCTTGTTGGTGTTCGTCTTCTTGATTGATGCCACACATCTTGAAGTTAAAAATTCTTAAACAATTTACGTAACCTATACTAACACAACACTAAAATTAACACTTAAAATTACTGTACAGTTCATTAAGCTAAGTTAGTTTTGACTGCCAGCTGCTGAAGCCTCACTGGTTGAGGGCATTTGGGTTGCCTGTGAGGCCTCACTTGTTGAAGGCGCTTGCTTGCACCTCACTTGTTGAAGCGTTGCATGCCCTCACTTGTTGAAGGCGCTTGCTTGCGCCTCACTTGTTGAAAGCGCTTGGCTTGCCTGTGGCGCGTCACTTGTTGAAAGCGCTTGGCTTGCCTGTGGCGCGTCACTTGTTGAAAGCGCTTGGCTTGCCTGTAATGCCTCACTTGTTGAAGGAGCTTGGCTTGCCTGTGGCGCCTCACTTGTTGAAGGCGCTTGGCTGCCTGTGACGCCTCACTGGTTGAACAACACGTAACTTGTCTTTAATTGCTAGGACAATCTTCTTCCTCTTAACACTTCCAGAACGATTGATGCTGCTACCAGACATATTCTTGGCCAAAAATGTTCAAAATTACTATGAAAATTAAGAAAGTTATTTAAAAAAATATTTCACTAATGGCGCAACACTGTGAGGCCGCACTGGTTGAGGTGTATAACAGTGACTTGTCTTTAATTGTTAGGACAACTTTCTTCCTCTTAACACCTCCAGAACGATTGATGCTGCTACCAGACATAGTCTTGGCCAAAAATGTTCAAAGTTACTATGAAAATAAAAAAGTTATTTAAAAAAAATATTTCACTAATGGCGCAGCACTCTGTATAACACGAGGGACGGACGCACATGGGTTGACCAGTGTTGGACGAGTCCACTTGGGGTGGGGCAGCTATAGCACGTTAAGTAGGCCGCCAGGAGGAAAAAAATTCACAATATTTTTTAAGGAAACTTCAGCCTGTGCACAATGCTTTTAGGAAACTTATTTATTTGTTATTACATAATTACTAGTACTTATTTCATTTGTTTTTGGCTATGATTAATTGTTCTAAAATTAATGGTAATTCCTGTACCCAGGTGGTCCCTCCTGATGCACCCCTCCCACCCTCCCAACACCACCCACCCACCCCACCCCCCTCCTCCACCATGCGTCTAGAGCCACAGACGGGATTAATACGGTATGGCCGTATTTTCATCTGGCCAAACTAGCTTTTATCCGGTTCCTGTGGCCATTTTGGCCGGATATTGTGATAACTTTATCCGATAACGATTTTGGCCATATAAGGGCGTTTTCAGGATGTTTGAATCCCGGATAATCGCGGGGTTACAGTATATATATATATATATATATATATATATATATATATATATATATATATATATATATATATTATAAGCCTAAATCTTAAAATTGCATATGGCACATATTTTGCCTCAAATATTTACATGGTAATCACTCATTTGCTGTTGCTAAAAGTTTAGTATCTCCTCTATGGCTACCCTAAACGTTCAGAAACTTGATAGTGATGTTGTGAAGCAATGGTCCTTATTTTCTTACTAAAGCCCTAGATGGAAAATGAGGGACTCGGGATTTTTTTTCAAGATGCGTGGATGGTTACTGGTGGCCTGAGGAAGCAAATGTGAGCCCTATGTATCTGCAGGACTATTTTAAATATGTAAATAAAATATATATGATGTGTGCCATTCGGTGTTTTATTCAAATCGCCTATGTATGTATTGTGCAGCTCAAGGGTTAACCCTTAAAATTTAAGAGACAAAAAGAATAGAGTTTGAAATCAGAGAAAAAAATCAGCCCCAAAAAATTAAAAGTCCCAAGTTTTGCGAGTTGTGACTGATTTATTTGTTGACCAATTTCATTTTATCTTCACATAGTTAGGGAAACATATACATTCTCCAGGATGTAAAGGTTACAACAAAAATCAGATAATAAACAAAGGAGAAAAAACTATAATCTTAAAAAAAAAAATTACCCTAGAAAAAAATATTTTTTGGGACATTGATGAAAGTAACAAATATTAACATTGGACAATGTATTTATATGATATATAACAAAATAGAGCATATTACCATAGTTATTCATTATTATTTGTGTTATTATGTATTACTCAGCAATGATATAAGGGCACCAACTGCATATCCACTTTGTGGATACTTCTTACTACTATTCTTCTTCTTTGAGCATCGGACAGGTGCTTGCATCTCTTTATTACTGCATAATCCTTCAGTTCCAGTAATTAGGAGGTGTTCTTATTTTTTTTTAAATTTGTCTAAAATCAATTTCTGAAAATATTTTGATGAAAATTTCATGACACTAAAGCCAATAAGTTGGAGATTTGTCTACCATTTTTAAGTTATTTTCACATAATTCGAATATTTTTCACTGCCAGGCCCCCAACATGCGTGGTTTAAGGGTTAAACTGTGCAAGGCATATACAGTATATAAGACAGGACATATCACTCGGTTTTTAAAATTTGCTGAAATGCTTTTA